GATTTTAATAACTTTGATGTTACAAATTAGAAATGTTCAGGAAAGTGAAAATAATTTAAATGTACCCACACAGTGATTTGTATACAAAGTTCGGGTAAAGTTACAAAGATAAGAGAACGCATTCCGAAAATGAAACGTCAAAAACATTTTTTTTTCGTTCACAGTATTCTTACCCTTCGGCGAATTTTATCGCAACAATCTCAAGTGACACACTTACCTAAGACTTTTAAAAAGTTATTGAATAAACCGCAGTGCCCCGGACGTGATAAAACAAACTCGATGGAAACCCATATTAGAGAAACGCCAGGATTGAAATTGTGTTGTAAAATTGGAAAATAAAGTGCACTTGTTCCTCTCGCCTGCATGTGCATAACTAGTTTTATCGAACACCAGAAAAGGTACAATACGAAAATATGACCTCCTAAACCAAATTTCCCGTGTAAAGTTCCCTGAACTCGCTGGGGTTTAAGTTTTATTTATGACTTGATCGTGCAATAGCGAATACTTACTCCTTTCCTTTTTTGAAATATTGAGCTTTACTTCCTATTTAATCAAAGCTATTTTGTGCTGATCTAACGCTTTTCTTACGATCATCTAATGTAGACCAACCGTAAAATACCAAAGCAATGCATTTTATTCGGCGATCGAAGTTATCCCTCAAATAAAATCCACAATTAAGGGAGTAAATAGGATGAGACAGGCCAATGCTTCTTTTGCGAGTTCAATTTATCTCTGTTGCTTTGCGTGACCACGAAGAAAGGAATTGTCGGATACTTTACCTACATCCTTTGTGTTCTCTTAGATTTTGTGTACACTCCAATCTTTTACACGAAATAAGGGCGTCATTTACAAGTGTCTCCCATTTTTTCGACTTTTGTCCCTTATAATTCTGAAGTATGGCAATTTCTCGTTAACTTGTCTGTGTCAGTATACAAAATAAGTCAGTGGGCCATTGAAAATTGATTGGAATTGAACCATTGCGGATTTTATAAAACGAAGATAATACGCTCACAGACGAAAGAAAAGCTTAGGAGCATTAAGGATAGGGAAACGTGATTAATGAACAACGGAATTATATAACAACTTTACGTCCCATTATGTGGTCTACAATGTTCATCGCGATTTTTTTTTCATAAAAGGTTCTTAGAACAACCCATAAAAATTTATCGCATCGAATTAGGCCGGGCAATATACATAATATTGGTATAATATTACTGCGGTGGCGAGCATCTACAAATGCAATTTATTAGATACGGTTATATTCCCATTTCGCTACTTAACTTAATAACAATTTAGTTTTGTTATCCTCATATTGTAGCAGTTTAAACAAAATTTTATAGGCTTCGGGTAAATGGACGAAACAGTCGACCCTTCGCGCAAACGAATTTGCTGAATTTCAACAGATGTTCATAATAACCTACCAATTACAGATTTAGTACGCAGATTTGACCTTTCACCCTACAATTAAAGTTGAATGCGCATTGGATTGTACTAGAGCTACACTATTTTCAGCTTCATGCATGCAATACATGAAAACAGTAGAAAAAAAGTGAAATGCAATTTAACATTAGTAAAATTTGTTTATACAATTGCAGACAAAACAATCCGGAATTCAGCATAATAATCGCCACTTGTTGCTAAAAAAGCCTGGTAACATTTTGCAATATTTTAAAATAAATTTATAACTGAAATAATGACCAGAAATTGCTAAAGAGCTTTGTTAACTGAATTAATTGCTTAACGTATTACCGTATTAACAATCTCTCAGTTCACTGCTGTATTACCCAAAATGACGTAAAATAATTAACCTTTAGTAAATTAATTAATATATTTCCTAGTTAATGCGACAGTGGAAGCTGTAATCTATTCAAATATACGGAACAATTGTTTAGAACGAAAACCTTAGATTTAGAGGAAGCTTATAGAAATTATTTTAGTTTTTATTTGTAAGTAGAGTCACTAGATAGCATTTTACAGACTTATAATCGCGGTTTACGAATTACCTGCCGTTTTGGTGAAGTTGGTCCCAAAAAAAGGCCCCTCTAAAATAAACGAATGAACCTGGATCACTCGCATCAAAATCTGTAAAACCTTTAGAATCTTTAGATCCATGGGAATCAATATGATGTTCTTAGAAATTTGGTAGAATCTTCAAAAATTAGGTTAGGATCTTCCAAGTTGTTCTTAGAATCCTCTTAGAACTGGTAGTCTTCTTAGAACATGTTGGAATTGAAATTTTCTTAGAAACCTCCCCAAATTTCCCGAGTATCTTTTCAGAATCTTTTGGAACCTTTTAAAGATTCTTATTAGAATTGTGGGAGCATTCTACACAACATTCTGTAAAGTAAATTTAATTACGTAGTTTTGTTCATTTACAATTAACTGGCAATAAATTTATAACAGTCTTAAAATGGATTAATTTATAATTTATTATTTATCACTTACAATTTAATAAGTTGGAACTGAACATGAAACGGAATTCCATTTGCTTATATAGCAAACAGCATTCTTTCTAGAATGTTCTTACAGTGTTGTCGAGTGCTCAAGGATGCTTGAACAAATCCGTCATATTTCTAGGAAAGATTACGCTCGCCCATGACTAATATTTCAAGGCGCATCGATGCCTATCGGAATTTCTAGAATATTCGCTACAATTCAAAACCTAGCACCTTGTTAGAATATTTTTAAAATTCTCTTCGTGTGAGATACTCTTAGAATCACCTATTTATCGTAGAATGCTCTCCTTACCATCTTAAAATCACCTTAGAATGTGCTTATCTTCAATTGGTCTTGAATCTTTTTATAATTATTGTGGTACCTTCCTTTAGACCCGGTTTTGAAGCTTTGTGGAATCCTTAGAATTTTTATAATCTGGTAAGATGTATTGCCTTCGAGTGATTCCAGCTGTCCGGTCAGGAATAGTTTTAAGCTATTTTATTAAGCCGAATATAGTGTCGGTCAAAATCATTAGGGGGATTTAGTTTTAAAGAAAATTAAAAAAAAAAATTTTTGCCATTCAAAGCGTCCAGTCGTGGTCCCTATAACGATTTAAATTTACGTTTTAGCCATTGGGGAGAATCGGGAGACCACATATTATTCACGTTGTCATATTTGATATATATGATATATATGAAATATATGATATACAGGGTGACAATTTGAAAACTTACCACCCCCCATATCTTAGTAAATAAACAAGATATTTAAAAAAATCAAAATCCGTTTCGGTAATTCGGAGGGGGAATCACAATGACATAGTTGGCGACGCACCCCCTGCGCCCTAGCCACCCCAACTTTTAAATCTTAAATAGTGACCCCCCATGTGTGATACGTCGTTGGAAAGCTCTGAAAAAATGCTTTCCAACCATACCAAATAGCATTACATTTAGGTTAGTAATTATCGTGCAAATAAAAAAATCAACTAATATGATACATTTTCTAAAGTTGGCTTTTATTTCAATAAATGTTCAAAATGTTTCCGTTATTGGTAAGACAGTATTACTATGCGATCAAAAATGAGTTGCTGTCGAGTCGCCCTTTGAAATTTTTGTGTACATGGAAAATCGTATTTAACTTGAACTTCCAAAGCCGACTCGACAGCAACTCATTTTTGATTGCCTGTTATAATCTATTCTCAAACTCTTGTCGAACCTTTTCAAATGTTGGTTTTGCAATATTTCGACATTCTTGAATTATTCTCTGTCTTAGTTCGTCTATGTTCGCCGGTTGCGTTTTAAATACGACAGATTTCAAATGTATCATATTAGTTTATTTTTAGATTTGCACGATAATTACTAACCTAAATGTAATGCTATTTGGTATGGTTGGAAAGCATTTTTTCAGAGCTTTCCAACGACGTATCTCACATGGGGGGTCACTATTTAAGATTTAAAAGTTGGGGTGGCTGGGGCGCAGGGGGTGTGAGGGGGTGCGTCGCCAACTATGTCATTGTGATTCCCCCTCCGAATTACCGAAACAGATTTTGATTTTTTTAAATATCTCGTTTATTTACTAAGATATGGGAGGTGGTAAGTTTTCAAATTGTCACCCTGTATATGAAATATATGATATATGTGAAATATATGATATATATGATGTATATGATATACAGGATATATATGATGCAATTACCAGATCAACAACTGCAGCTGTTTTACATGGCAGTGATAAATACGTTCAGTATGACCTTCTGTTATCAGTACGCACTGTACATTGTACAAATAACAATTATTTAGTTTCTAATGAACACAATAGCCAGTATTTATAAAAAAGAGGATTTGCTTTTACTTGCAAAAATCAAAGCATTTACTTCACATTTTGTACAAAATTGATTAAGTAAAATGAAGTAAATGCTTTGATTTTTGCAAGTAAAAGCAAATCCTTTTTTTTTATAAATACGACCTATTATCTCGTCGACTATTTAGTTCTGTGTACAAAATTAAGACAGGCTAAGCATAAACTCATCATATTCGCGAAGGAATACCTTTTTCGTTAATTAATAATAAGGTTGTGCTATATTCCCGAGCCCGAGGAAACGAAAACTTTGCCTTTTGTACAAAATTAGTAGGATTATCAGTAATATTTTAACAGTGTTTAATAAATTTTGCGCTAATAAACAGTTGCGGAAAGTGACGAAAGTTTCTGACAAATAATAAACACTAAAGAAAACCCCAACGATTAGTTTCCAAAAAATTTCCACGGAGTCTCCAATTTCAAGGCGATTTCAAGGCAGCCGACGGACAAATCTCAATTCATGCTCCCAGCTCTTCAGGTTAATTTACCAATTCCACTGTTTTGTAGAAAGAAATCGAGCCGATGATTTCATTTCTCAAGATATTTGTCTCAGAAAATCACGTTGGAATCGTTATTGTTTAGTAACCAGTAAAATTTAAACTTAACAACAAATTATAAAATCAAGTAAAGCACAAAGAAGACTAAATTACATGAAACCACTCGATAGCACACGATCACATTCCAGTATAAAGGTTAAAAGTACTTACAATACAACTAGATTTTCCATGCCCGGAAAAGCGTCTACCGGAATCGACGTAATAAGATTGCTGCCGAGATTTCTGAAAATAAAAATATGTAAATTGATACTGTTAACAATACGACGAGTTACTTATAACATTATCTACTCTCATATATGCAAATTTTCCAAAGGATGATCGCTTTTCTTAAACCGTTGATTTAATGCCCAATTAACTTTTCATCCAATTTAATTTTCACGCCAAATTAGCTAAGAAGAATCGCTTTTAAAATACGAACCAATTTATACTGTCGCAGTTGAAATTAGATCAATATTGAATTTGCCATTTGCGGGCTAGTGGTAAGTTGACAATAGAAAGTTGTAATTTTTTATGCACTCACTCAAATAATATGGGCATGTGACAAACACGAAGAACCTAAGCATCGTAAATCCCAATAAACTGTAATGAATAATTTGGATTCGTTATGGAAAGTAAAGCCCCAAATACTTCTATTATATTCAATTATGTATACCAGAGTCTCCAGGCTCACCATAGGTAAGCTAGGCAAAGCTTTATGTACTCAATATTATAGTCGTGCACGAGAATGTAATTAAGAAATTAAGATTCATTTAATAAAGCTCCTTTAAATCGGCTTCCCCACAGTTTTTAAGTGCTTTCAAACTGAGTGTAATAAAAACATGGTTTTATATTGATTAAGTTTAATTGTAGCGTGTAACCTTAAAATCTTTTTCAAATTCTCCGAAAATTTATAGACATTTTACGACTAATAAATATTGTATGAACGTTTTCACGAAAACAGAACGTCGCGCCGACCCACAGGCTACGTCAATTCAGTATTTCTCTCGTTATAACTGGATATTCGAGAACTTAAATGACCAAAATTTTATTGCTCATTGGACATTTTCTGTTCCAAAAAGTTCGGTTGAGTGGCGAAAAAGCGTTATTGACATTAACCAAACCCATATACTTTATTTCAAAGTTAATGAACAACAATTAAACTCTACTTAGACTAAAATACGTTATAACTACCCCCAAAGTACAACTCGAACCAACATTGCGGTTTTGCGGTGTTTGGTGTTCGGAATGCGTTTTACTTTAGCAGCCACATATGTTTCGGTGATTTCATCCATTCAGAATTTCCAGAACTCTTTATAATATCCCTGAAGATGCGAATTGGAAAAAATGGAAAGATACTAAAAAAGTTCGGAGCCAGTTGAAAATGGACCTGCTTAGGCTGTCTACGCAAAAACAATCTGCTTCCATTCAAAAATCGTAGTTCACCTATTTACTATTAAAAGCTTTTATTTAGATTTAGCGTTGAATTTAGATATTATAGCATTGATATTTCAGTGCTATACAGATTCTGCACAAATATCAATTTCCAAATGTAATGATACCATCTGTGGCATTGAATTTAACGAATACAATTGATGACGCAATTCATGAACTTAAACCAAAAAAGCTTCATGCCCGGATTGCTTTCCGCCAAATATTTTTAAAGGGTGTAAATATTACTTATATACTTATACCCGCATTAAAAATACTATATAATCTTTCTTTGACATCTTTTAAGTTCCCATAGATGGAAAAGTACAAAAATTTGTCCTATTCATAAGTCAAGATGAAAAATCGATATTAAAAGCTCCCGCCCTATCCCAATACTATAAATACCTATAAACATTTCTGAACAAATCTTGTGCAAAATAATATACAAATCACACACGGTTTTCTAAGAATAGATCCATGTGTCACACCTAATGGAATTTACGTAACCTATCAAAGTGCTAAGGCCTAAGTAAAAGCCGGCCCGTGTAGTGCAGTTCAGTGGAAGCTCGACTGCGGTACAGGGTCCCTGGTTCGAATCCGGGTTCGGGCATGGATATTTGTAAATGTATAGTGGGTTGGGTTGGTAGAGCAGCCTCGGCTGAAACCCCGCCCACTTAAAAAATAAAGGCAAAATAAAAAAAAAATAAAAAATAAATAATATCCAATATGATGCCATGTTTACCGATTTTTCTAAGGCTTGTGATAACGCTATGATGTGTTTGTTTTTTTTTATCTTACAGGCAATTTGTATCTGTTCAGCCAGTAAATTCTGGTGTTTTTAATATGCAGGGGTCAAATCAAATCTGGATCCTCTGCATACTATTAATATTAATTAATGACGTAGTTAGTGCCATAATAATTTGCCGATACTTTGCTATTTGCTGATGACTTGTGTAGCGTTAAAGTTGTAAATTCTAATGCTCACCCAAGCAAATCTTACACTAGATAAAATTCGGACGTGGAGATACGTTACCGACAGTTCGAAGACTGTTAACTGATACTGTTTATTGTAAGGGTTTACATGCTATTTATATCACAGATATTACTTCCCCAACCTACGTTAATTACGTTAAAATGCAGGAAATGCTGATGCCTCGACCTTGGTTAGCTTGTTTGATTATCTTGCGTGTTTCTTCCTAGTAGTGTACATATTTGAGTATTATCGTAGAAATAAAGCATAAGCGTCTCGCTTAAGAACTAGACGCTAAAAGAAAAACACACCGGCAACATTATCATTTACAATGTCTTAATCAATTTCAATGAAAGCAATAATTTCAAATTTTGCCGAATAATCGCCTAAATTTACTTTTAACATAGAGACAAACCAACCATAGCAAAATCAGACTTTCTGGCAAACAAAATAATTACGCAAACCAAAATTGTAAGTGGTATAACAGCAGTCTTTTTCATCGTTCCTCTCAAATGCGTCCCAAGTTCTTAATTTCTTTGATGCTCCCCTTAAGCTTCCTTTAAATTTTTAGCGCATTTTTGCAAAAATTTTTTTTTGTAAAAAGTAGCTTTTAATCTCACTTTGGCTGGCTGGCTGGCTGGCTGGCTGGCTGGCTGGCTGGCAGCAAATGTGGGCGCGTAGAAGAACTCTTGTAGAAAGGCAACGGGTGTACGTGTATCTACAGGGCCGTGAAATTTGTCAACCTTAGGGACATGGCTACATGATGTGGGGTTGGCGACATCTGGGCGTCATCCTCGAGCGTAGTATACTAACGTGAAGGTTTTTCAGTTTTTTTCCTATCTTCTACTACAGTTTTGGTCCGATTCTTTTGAAATTGGTGTCGTCGGAAAGATGTTGTAAACGCGCACAACTCCTGCGTGGCGGAATTTTGTTTTTTGTCATAGGGGCGAAATTAACGACCTTTTGCGAGGCGGCGCGCGCGTCTTCGAGAAGTAGTCAGGCGCCTTTTACCTTCCGTTGCGAACTCACGCGGTTTAACGTTTCGTGAATCTTGAATCGCTGTCTCTCTTTCTCGTGTCGCCAATAGAAGTGAATTGCGAGTGAACGGGACGTCGGAAGTGGGTACCGTAAAAGAGAATGTGGTAGCCCGCGACACGATCTCACTGATGGTGGAGTCAAATCTTCAATCGCGAATTGCGGGTGAACGGGACGTCGGAAGGGGGTACCGTCAAAGGGAATGTGGTAGCCCCCGACACGATCTTCCTGATGGTGGAGTCAAATCTTCAAACGCGAATTGCGGGTGAACGGGACGTCGGAAGGGGGTACCGTAAAAGGGAATGTGGTAGCCCGCGACACGATCTCACTGATGGTGGAGTCAAATCTTCAATCGCGAATTGCGGGTGAACGGGACGTCGGAAGGGGGTACCGTCAAAGGAAATGTGGTAGCCCCCGACACGATTTTCCTGATGGTGGAGTCAAATCTTCAAACGCGAATTGCGGGTGAACGGGACGTCGGAAGGGGGTACCGTAAAAGGGGATGTGGTAGCCCGCGACACGATCTCACTGATGGTGGAGTCAAATCTTCAAACGCGAATTGCGGGTGAACGGGACGTCGGAAGGAGTTACCGTCAAAGGGAATGTGGTAGCCCCCGACACGATCTTCCTGATGGTGGAGTCAAATCTTCAAACGCGAATTGCGGGTGAACGGGACGTCGGAAGTGGGTACCGTAAAAAGGAATGTGGTAGCCCGCGACACGATCTCACTGATGGTGGAGTCAAATCTTCAATCGCGAATTGCGGGTGAACGGGACGTCGGAAAGGGGTACCGTCAAAGGGAATGTGGTAGCCCCCGACACGATCTTCCTGATGGTGGAGTCAAATCTTCAAACGCGAATTGCGGGTGAACGGGACGTCGGAAGTGGGTACCGTAAAAGGGAATGTGGTAGCCCGCGACACGATCTCACTGATGGTGGAGTCAAATCTTCAATTGCGGTGAACGACGTCGGATACCGTCAAAGCGACACGAATGGTGGAGTCAAATCTTCAATCGCGAATTGCGGGCGAACGGGACGTCGGAAGGGGGTACCGTCAAAGGAAATGTGGTAGCCCCCGACACGATCTTCCTGATGGTGGAGTCAAATCTTCAAACGCGAATTGCGGGTGAACCGAACGTCGGAAGTGGGTACCGTCAAAGGGAATGTGGTAGCCCCCGACACGATCTTCCTGATGGTGGAGTCAAATCTTTAAAAGCGAATTGCGGGTGCACGAGGAAAGTGGGAAGCGGTTAGTGAATGTAGTAGCCTTCGACAAGATCTGTTTTTGATGGTTGAATCGAAAGTGGCTAATAGAATACTGATCTGCCACACAAAAATGCGCTGAAGTCCCTTCGATCTCAAACGAGGACTTTGATAATTTTTTCTAAGTATCTCCCAAGTACTTCTTAAACTCTTTTGCAGCGCCCGTCAAGTCCCCCTCAAATATTCTTCAAATTATTTTCAGGTTACTCCTCAATTTCTTCTTAAGCCAAGTTCATGTTAAGCTCCATAAATGTTTCCTCAACCTTCTGCAAAATTCGTTTGAGGTTCTTCTTATGGTCGTCAAGGTTTTTCTCCGGTCTCTACAAAGTTTTTCTCAAGTTCTCGAATTTTCTTCACTTTTTCCTAAAACTTCTATCAATTCCAGATATTGAGTAATTTTCAAGTTCTTCTCAAGTTTTCCATTTTTTTTCCAAATTTTTAAAATTTATCCTATGATGTCTTCATGTTCATATAGAATTCCATCAAGCTTAAGTGCCTCTTTTTCAAACTGCTCTCAAGTGTCTAAATTACTCCCTAGTCCCTTGACA